CCTTCATACCAGACGTACCTACATGATTGAAGACAAGGCGTTAAAAACTTATTCATATTATTAATCAATTCTTTATGCCCCGCAATGTTCCCACAATTGAAAACTAAGACTAGCATCATATCAAAGTAGGACAGTTCGTACCTCTATTTTCTGTACACATTTCTTCAAGATTATCTGTTTCAAATATGATTTGTTTGGAATTTTAAGTTAATGGACTGTCTCTTTAAATTTCTATCAATTCTTGTGATGTTCCAGGTTTGTGATATAGTTAGTGATGGTTCTGCCCTCTGCTGTTGATGTGAAGATCCTGGTCTCGTATTTCTGGGCGTGTGGAAATAGGTTTTAAAAATCTAAAGGGTGGAGCTGAAGTATGTTGTCTTTTTATTGCTGAAAAATCTGTGGTATTTCGAAACATTTTTGTGCAATGTTGCTCTTCACACATAACTGTTGCATGTAGTGTAGAGTAGCGTTTGGAGCAAGTCATCCAAAAGATATCCATTCAACATTCACCCGTCATGTCCCAACGCACATGATATAGGGCGTCTTCTGTACGTGCCATAAAAGTTAATCCAGTATTAAAGTTTAATCCAGATGTCTAGTACGTATGCGCATTGGCAGCGTCCAGGATCAACTTTTAATAGACCTCTTGACCAGGCTTTCATATTAAGCTCATTTTTTAACCCTGCACGTGCGCAGAAGGGACAAGTTAATCCCACCAATCATGTACTGTTACGTCACGTACCCGTCATGAACTTCAAAGGTGCCATCACTTGGTTAGTGATGTATATATATATATATATATATATATATATATATAATATATATATATATATATATATATATATATACCATTATATATATATATATATATATATATATATATATATATACATACATATATAGTATAATATACATTATACATATTATATATATATATATATATATATATATATATATATATATATATGTGTGTGTGTGTGTGTGTGTGTGTGTGTGTGTGTGTGTGTGTGTGTGTGTGTGTGTATGTATATATGTATATATATGTATGTATATACATATTACATATGTATATATATATATATATTATATATATATAATATATATTATATATTATATATATATATATATATATATATATATATTATATATATATATATATATATATATATATATATATATATATATACATATAATACACCCATGCACAGTTGCTAACCTACACATATCAATGTGAGCATGTTAAGACCGAATACAGTACTCATTGACATAAAATTTGAATCTAACTCATAAAGCTAATTTAAAACAGTACCATGTATGCGTTAAAAATGTACAGTTACTTTGGAAAGTGAATACATGTGCAAGTATTCGCGACAAGGTCACATTCCCTGAAACAATTGCTGATACACGGATACCAAATGTACCTTCTGTTGGTTTCCTTTTTGCTCAACAGATGGCGCGCATTACAACAATACACTGCATCCGAATCTCTTGAGTCTACCGTACTCTTCACCTTGACTATATACAACACAAACCACAAAATATAATCCACGTAACTAAAATAAACCCCAAAAATAATATAATAAATCTCACCATTCATAAAAAGCACCAGTTCATCGAATAAACTCACTGAATTCCATCAGAACAACAACTCAAGTCAAGGTCAAGACATTCGTACCCGTGACCATAGAAAGCTCAGTGAAACCTCAAGTGACAGATCGACGAAGTCCATGATGACGTGAGTCCCTTTTCCTCCTGTTCTCTCGTGTCCCTTGGGTGTAATTCCCGTCTCGTGGGGCGTTAAATGCCGTAGAATTAAGGGGAAATATGTTAAAGAGGAGTTGTTAATAATGGAGGTTAGTGACCGTGGTTATTGCTCGGTGATTGTGAGTTCGAGGTATAACAATGTCATTTATTCGTCCTAGGTTATTCTTAGTGTTTTATTCGGTGTTATAAGTTGTGTAGAAGCAGATTTTGATTGATTTGGTATCGATTTTGGTCGATATTGATTGGAATGATTGGTTATATGGCTTATAGCTGGAGGGTTCGATGCCGTCTTCCCTTCCTCTAGACCTTGGCAGAGTGCCTTTGGAGATGAGAGAAACTTTGAAGGTTATTGGAGATGTCTGGCTATGTGGAAGGCTAGTAAGATGTTTATTTTTCTAATATGGAAGTATTAGTTAGCAAAGATTAGATCAAATTGTATTTCGAGAGTAAGCAGGTTTAGCATAAATTTCAAGTGTGTGCGTGCATGTGTATTCAATATGCACTAAAGAATTGCTAAAGAATTTCCCATGGCCCAAGAAAAGATCATATCCATTTAGGGTAATTTTTAAAAATTCATCCACCTAATGGGGCGCAAAGATTTTGGTATGGATAGATTCCTCTTGTTACGTGGAAACCTCCCCCCCCCACATTCTTGGCCTCGATAGCGGGGGAGGGCGTGAAAGGTACCAGGGAAATTGTGGGGTAAAATCTAGATGATATACCCAGAATCATTCACTTTATTGTCTAATGCAGGGGGCGTTGCCCCCTATGACCTCCCCATGGGGCCTACCTCCCCCCCTGAAAATAGAATCCTCCATGAATTCACGGCAGGAGAGAGCATTAGACTTGGCAGTGGCACTTCCGCATGTAGGTAGTACACTTACGCTTGCTGTGAATAGGTTGTGGATTTCTTGATTCCCTGGGCAGGGGTTTGGGGGTGGCAGTCCCCCATGGGGGGGGGGAGGCCGCAGGAGGCACAGCCCCCGGCATTAATGACTGATTCTATGTATATCATTTACATCTTACCCTGCAATTTTCCTGGTATCAGGGCCAAGAATGTGGGGATTGGGGGGGTTTCTGTGCAATAAAACTTACTTATTTGCATTTTAGGTGGTGAGAGAAATCCAACGATACTGAAATCGTCGCGATCCATTAGGCGGACATATTCCAAAAAATTACCCCATTTGGTATAATCAAGATGATTAGTTACTGAAAATATTAAGAATAGAACCATGCTGAGATAATGGGAAAGGCAAGGATAATTTTCCAGAACAGAACTGCGTAAAACAGTCAAACTAAGGTAATGTCCATATAGAATTTATAGAATGACACTTTCAGGTACAAATATTAGTGTGCTCAAAGTAAATGTGACATCATAAATGCTCCTCAGAGTTCTTGAATGTATATACGTAAAGATAAGTCTGTAGAGATAAGTCCATCCCTTAAGCCCTGTATTCTGATTAGGTAGAGCGTATAGATTTCCTACGAAGTTATTATAAAAAACAAACCAGTCTATATCTATACCCATGCAGCAGGACTGTGATATCTGATTTTCCCATGTGTGCGAAGACAAACAAACCACCACTATTTATTATGGTATGAGAGTCCTTGTTAACCTCTGTGGTTATTAATCAAATAGAACACCTACCAGTCCACATTCTGTCTCACCCAGTAAAAGTAATGGTGGATTGTTGGCCTTACCTAGGGTAAGAAGCACGGAAGCCATAGCAGCACTTGATATCGTCTGTTCTTACCAGTTATCTTAGCTTTATTCTTCCTGATTATATTGGGAGAGTTATTGGTATGGCTTCACTGAAAATGTCTACCTTCTCATGCTAGGCTTTTTAAATGAAAGTAGCGTAGGATCAGGTAGGACTTTGGTTAGAGTTAGAGATAAAAGTAGGGTGATTTGAGATATGTTCTGTTGCATTGGGTTGACTTTTATTTGTAATTCAGTTTGGTTTGGCTTTTTTGAAGTAGTTATTACTGTTCAGTCTAGATAATGAAATAATGGTTAAATGTTATAAACATGTTGGAATTAGTAGATTTATAAAGCATAACTGCTTAGCTAAGAATAGTGGAAATTATTGTTGGGAGATACAAGGTATAATTATTGGAAATTATTGGGAAGTAGAATATTGTAATCTGCAATAAAACTATATCATTTTCTGCTCTTTCATTAGTTATGCAATTATTCCACGGATAACTTTGAAACATTGCAAATTAACAAGATGTAAATGATATTTGCTATAGTCTGTAGTGGTCTTATCCTTATCTGTCTGTCAATCTATGCATATGTATCACACATATATGTCTTTATTATTTACTCATTTATCCATCACTTATTTGTGGAAATATGAGCCATAAGTAAAAATGCAGCTATGATCCGTGTATGTGTAGGCTGGCACAATTATTGTTTTTTTTTTGGGGGGGGGCCAAAAACTCCTTTCTAACCTTTTATCCAACATTGAAGGAAACTCGTAATTACAGAGAGTATGTTGTGTGTTGTAATCATAAGGATGTGTATTAGTGCTCATTATTAGGGACAAGTTTTGCTACAAGGATTTTGGTTTAGTAAAAGATAAAATTATGGGGGTAAGATAGACTGACATTTAAAGGAAAAGAATAGGGATAGTAACAGTAATGGTTATTGTTAATCTTTATCAGCTAAATGGTCATAGTTTTAGTTTGGCACTTGCAGGTTATAAAGAATGTGCAGGGAGTAAAATATTGATTGGTTAGATTACGTGTAGAATGGTGATATGAATTTGGTCAGTGCCAGGAACCTAATCTTTTATTTGTAGATCATCTTTTAAGGGAAATGGGCTTATACTCTTGTTCTGATTTTAGGTATTATTTGATAACTTCAAGTGATATACATTAATAAAAAAAAAAATAGTTTTCTTAAAGAACCAGATAAGATTAAAGAAAATCCCCAATGTATTTTAATTTTGTTTTTTCTTGATCATTTTTTTTATTTTAAGAATACTTCTTCATTTACAGATATTTATATTTATGATGTAATGAAAACTGATATAGACTAATTTAACTAATGTTCAATTTGATAAGATGTAAAGTATTCTTATTGAAATCTTATCACTTATCTTACACTTTTGGTTCTTATATTTTTCATAACCTGCAGATTAAGATAAAGCACAAGCTGTTATTAAACTGGGAATGCAGACCAGACAATTTTCAGTAGCTATTTAGTTCACTTACATATCATTGTAGTGTAATTATTTAGAGTATCTACCTGTTTGTGTGTTAAGTTACCTGTTTGTGTGTTAAGTTCCCCATTTGGCATTAGCGCAGCTGAAGATAACACTGGGAGAGCAGGTACGGTAGATGTAGGTACTGGTAGATTAAATGGTAAGATGGTTTCAGATGATGTCCCATTACTGGAACTGACTGGCTACTTGTTCTTGTTATGAAATCTGTTCTCTAAAATATACTTGATTTCAAATTTATTGGTTTCTTTGTTGTCATCTGAAGTATTGATTGGTTAGATGTATGTCTGCCTCTTTCTTTGATTTTAATTTTGTACCATCTTTGTCAGATTTCTGTTCGATGAAAAATTGTATTTTAGATATGATACATATGTAGTGTTTGTAGATAAATGAAAGAGAGGGAGAGGGAGAGAGAGAAATGAATATGAATGTAGAAACATCTATGTAGATATAGATACATGATGTGGATACTTAGTTGCGAATTCATAGTTGAAGATATAGATATGTAGAGAAGTGCAATAGATATGTATATTTAGATATGTTTTAGTAGATATGTAAATGCAGCTACATATAGATACATACATAATCTATATATCGATATGTAGATATAGATATGTATGTGTATATGTAGATAGAGATATGTAGAGGTATATGTAAATAGAGATATGAATATAGATGTAAATGAAATATATAAGTAACATAGACATTTGTATTGATAAATCATTGTTAATTATTGGTTTGGTTTGCAGGTAATTAGTGCATTGAATTTTGATCCTGTCAGTGATACACATGTTACCCAATTACTAACGCTTCAGCCATCAACACAGCAGCAGTCATTCCCTCCTTTAGTGCAGTAATTACTGGTGGATATTGTCCCATTCAAGGATAGTCTATGAGAGCAGAATAGAGGTGGTAAGCGGTTATTTCAGGGACACAGAGCTGATTTGAATTCTGGACAACGACTAGATTTATGTTGGATATTGAGGATCAGGATCTTTGATGTATGTAGTTATATATGTGTTAGGTATATCTTCTCCCGCTTTTCTGTTTCAGTATGTAGTATTTCAGCATATACGATGTAAGACATTTGAAACTATGAAAACCTTCTGTTCATTATAAAGGTTCCTTCCTTAGGTTCTGTGGATTTAGATTCCTTCTGACAACATAGTATTATGTTCTCACCTTTTTGAGATTTAAAAAGCAGAATTGAAATTAAGAAAAAAATCAAGACACCTTTCCAGCGATACTTGATAACCGCGCATGAATACATTGAAATCAGCAACCTCATATCTAAATATGAGTTCATTTCAGGTGATTCTAAGGTCAGCAAGTAGAGATCAGTGCTCAAGCAAAATTCACCCCAAACCAAAGACTGGAGATCTGAAGCTGCGTGTGGGAGCATCAGCGCGCGGAAGATGGGGGAAGGCGTACCAATTGGGCTAGCGCATCAAAGCCCCCTAATCAACGCAACCATAGATGCCAGTGTGTGTGGAAGAGATGCGCTCACCGACAGTTATGGTTGGTTTGTGCAGGCGCTACTGGCTTCGCTCGCCTTTGGCCTTTTGATATGTGAGTGTTGCGATCAGTGGTTTTACTTAGCTTTTTTCCGCATCTTCCTTTTTTTTTTTTTTTTTTTTTTTTTTGCTTAATCTATAGCTATCTAGGTATTACCTTTATCTATCTTTCTACTTTTTTTGTATCTTTCATTCTGTTTATTATTATCTTTCTATCTATTTCTTTGTATCATACTATCTATCATTTCTTTATATCTTCCTGTCTATCTGTTTATTTTATATTTCTCTTTTTATATTATTATATCTATTTGTCTTTGTTTCATTCATTCATTATTATTTTTTTTTTTTTTTTTTTTTTTTTTGCTTACTTTATTTCAGCGAGGAAGACCTGTTATTGTTTCATTAAAAGAACATAATGTCTTGGTATACATATGTGGAAGAAGTAATGAAATTGATTGCACAATTGATATGAATTTGATAAGTAATTGATTATTTGATTTGAAAGACCATATCATTCATTTCATAACAATTTGGTATTTCAGTTGCAAAGTAAAATTTACGAAATCTTACAAGCCCTAGTCTGAAATTGCTTTCTTGACCCCCCCCCCCACCTGCCTGGCTTCAGAATTAGGCTGACCTTTTGAATAATTGGACGTCATGTTATGAAAACATGGTGTGAGTCGGCATGGAACAGTTGCCAAAGTGTGTGTTGTATGTGCAGGTTACCTCACGACGTTAAGACCTACAAAAGAAAAGTAATGGGCTGAGATTTATTTTATTTTTTTTTACTTTATTACATGGTCTCTTTACTTTTGTTGAATGCTTCACGTTTGAGAAAGGTTTTCAGGAGATTGGCAGATAAATGTATTCTGTTTTATGAAAATCGTTGGAGTGGATGTGATAAGGCTTTGTCAATATATTAGATATTGTGATATCAAATTGAAGTCATGATTCTTGATATCGTTGTAGCTTGTGCACATGAAACTTATTGATCATGTAGGGTTTATCTAATGCAAAAAGTGAGTGATTGTGAGTGATTGTGAATGTGTGAGTGAGTGATTATGAGTATGTGAGTGTGATAGTTTGTGTGTTAGTGAGTCTGTGTGATAGTGTGTGTGTGTGAGAGTGTGTGTGTGTGTGAGAGTGTGTGTGTGTGTGAAGTGTGTGTGTATGTGTGAGAGTGTGTGTGTGTGTGGTGAGTGTGTGTGTGTGTGAGTGTGTGTGTGTGTGTGTGTGAAGAGTGTGTGTGTGTGTGAGAGTGTGTGTGTGTGTGTGTGAGAGTTGTGTGTGTGTGTGAGAGTGTGTGTGTGTGTGAGAGTGTGTGTGTGTGTGAGAGTGTGTGTGTGTGTGTGTGTGTGTGTGTGTGTGTGTGAACGAGTTTGCAAGTTAGTGAGCATGGGTACAGGTATAGGTATGTGTAGAGTATGCATATGAATGTGAGTATAATAATCAGTTTGACTAGGATGTAGAATTTGAGTGAATGAGAGTAAGTGAATGTGTGTGTGTATACGTGCATACATGTGTAAAGTATGTGTTCATACCCACATCAAGTGTACAACAGATCTGCCTTGGTTTTTCGCACACAGTAAAGAGATTCTGCGAGCCTAAAAAGCACAGAAGATCATGGCTGGTCTGGTTCTACGACACCTCCAAGCAGGGCCTGGAGCCATGATCGTCCACTTCTGCAACGTCTTCTTGTCTGAGGCTTTCAAAGGCGACCCGTGTACTTGGTAAGGATTTGGTACTTTCGTACGACCTATTATTGTTATTATTATTATTATTGTTATTGTTATTATTATTATTGTTATTGTTATTATTTATTTATTTTATTTATTTATTTTTTTTTGATGTTTTGTTTATTATTGTTATTGTTATTAATGTTGTTATTAATAGTAATGATAATAAAAGTATTATTGTTATTATTGTATGTATTATATTATTATTATTATTGTATTATTATATTATTATTATTATTATTATTGCTATTATTGTTTTATTATTGTTATTATTATTATTATTATTATTATATTATTATTATTAATTATTAGTTATTATTATTGTATATCAAAAATAAAAAAAATTGTTGATGTATTTCAAAAGTAAACCAGTATTAACCCCTATTAACCCCAACTGTAAGAAGTGAAAAGATTGCTCATAAAAACATTAAAAGATGCGCAGTGATTATGAGAGATACCAGTTTCAAATATGCCCCAGGTATCTCTCCCCGCAATTGACCTTCGACATCATCATGGCAGAAGATTTTCAGTAATCAATCCTTCAAATATTTCACAGGTATATCATCAGCTTTCTTCTGGACTCCACGCTAGGCTTAGTCATCATCTGGGCTGGAATCAGACTGAGTATCCACATCGGGCAGACAAGGGGCATGCCGACACTCATCTTCGGAGAATATGGTAAGACCTTGGGGTGTGTGACGCTGCCTTTGTGAGCTGCATGACTTTGGCGTATCTTTTTGACATTTAAGCTGCCTTGTGTGAGGGTAAATGTTTTGTTACGTATGTGGGGGTCTAGTCATGTTGCCTATAGAGGATTTTAAAAGAATATGATAAGGATGTCATCCAGGAGTTAGCCTTAAGAACATGATGTTTTTTAAAATATATTCCTCAAGCTCTTAAAACCAGAATGGAACTAGGCCTTTGTAGCCTAAGTGAAGACTTCGGTCTCATTGCGCTGAGTCATCACCATAGGTTAAGGATAAGAGGAGTACTAATACCTTGTGACTCATCATGTTGTAATAGTTCTTGAGTTAGCGTTAGGAGTGGATAATACTTTGGCTTAATTTAACTTTTGGCGTGAATGATGAATGCACATGTGATAGTGTTTTACGTGGGCTATATGCTGGTAAAACTCTTAATTTTGTACTTTTGTTCTGTGTTTATGTATGCATAAATGCATACAGTAATATATATTTGTATATGCATGTATTTGTGTGTATATACTTATATATGTGCATATATACATATTCAAATACTTGCACATGTTTTGATCCTTTACATTTTTCACGCCATATTTCAAACTCAATTAGATACGAAAATGTTACAGGTCGGCCTCCATCCATCCGGGCATGGGGTCACCAGTGCGCGCTGTATGTGGGCATCATGGTGGTGGAGAAAGTGCTCATTACTGGCCTTTTAGCCTTCCAATTCTGGTCCAGTGTCAGGGATCTCATCCTGGCCCCCATAACCGATCCTCAAGTTCGTGTGGCGGTGGTCGTGCTAGTCATTCCATTCTTTGTTAATGTAAGTAAAGTGTTCACTGTTTACCTGTGGATTTGCTTTCTTTTGTTGTTTGTTTGTTTGCTTATGATCTCATTATTTATGTTTTTTTTTCTTGCGTATATGCGTAAAGTGAAGGATAATTAATTTTCATGTTATATAATTCCAGTAGATTCTGTGTCCAGTAAATGAAAGATAAGAGTAATGTAACAAGTAGTTGTACAGCTGTAGACGAGTAGGTATGCAGATGTAATTAAATATATTCACAAATGGAGACAGATGGATATAATAAGTAAAGAGGTAATTGTGTTGATGTATATAGTTGGAGACAGATAGATTTAGAGGTATAGATAGGTAGATGTACAGATGTAAACTACCAGATACACAGGGAAGAAAGGTGTGAATTAATTGCTGAAGTCCACTAATTCCAATCACAAAGAAAAGAGTGTATATACATATTTTTTGCTTATATTTTTCATGATCCGGTTTCTGTGAGGAGTTAGATACTACTCATATTTTACAGAGGCGCACTTTCCTATAGTCAAAGCTATGGAAGTTAGGTACCTGTTCCTGTTCCACATTTTTTACTTCTTAAGATAGAATCTGTTCTAGAGAGAAAGTGAATGGAACATAAGGGTAATATATGTTATAGTAGGCAGTTTTATCGACTAGAGGATGTATTACCTGTCTAAATTGTTAAAGAGAATAGGGTGAGTTTTGGTGGTATTTTTGGTGTGGTGAATATTTCCTTCTTTAGTGTTCAAGATAGTTCTTTAATTTTGCTCAAAGAAATATAGTAGACTGTATACAAATATCAATCGTTTACATATTCTGAATATTTTTTTCTGGGAGTGAGAGTAACAGATAAGACGGAGAATCATTCTTGCAGTAAATATTTTAGAAATTTAAACCATGGAGTGAGTTCAGAAAATTTTAATTATGAATGATAGATACCAATATGACTGTGTTATTGAATTGTTACCAATTTTAAGAAGAAAAAGAATGAACATTCAAGTACCATTATACTCTCTATTGTAAGAACGTTGACTATTCTAAGCAGAAGTAAAATAAGTTAGATATGTCATTGCAAGTCAATATACCTTAAATATAAAACTAATTAAACTATGTATGTTTTTATTGGAAACAATAATTCCAAGTTGCCAGCTAGGAATCAATGGTCCATAAATATGTGTGCCTGAGAAGTTTTGATTATAGATAATAAATTGGTATTGTTGGATAGGAAGTATGATGTATTAACCTCTTCTCAGAAAAGTTGCATGCATATCTTCAGTCAAGACATTATAGGATCAAGGAAGTTTTGTAGGAACAGTCTGGAACTAAAGTCCTCAGAAAGGTTTTGCGAGTTTTGTTTATTGCCCAGAAATGGCACTGTGCTAGATGAGTGGTAGTTCATTGACACCCTTGTATTTTCCTGGATCTCGATGATTCAAACACATGTTTGAAGTAATGTAATGAATCCCTACAACCCAACTCTGGCCTCCCTCCCTCCCCCATTCAGGAATCCGCCCCTTTGCTTCACAGTGATTGCAGCGCCATCTCTGGGCAATAAACAAAACACGCAAAGCCTTTCCGAGGACTTTGGTCACGGACTGTACCTGTTTACCAGCAAATATTTTGATGGTTTTCACAAGTTTTCTACCCTCTTTATGGTCTTTATAATGCAGCCTGATGGTCTTCAGATGCAGAAACAACTGTACTATCAGGCATCACCTTGTACTCAGCCAGTGGTAGGATATGTTGTAATGATATACCTCACTGCTTTTCAGGCTGAAAGTAGGCTGCATATTCTATTATATTTGCCAGCTCCTGTTAATATTTTGTAGGTCTCTCAACCACCTATACTTAGTTTAATTCCATGGAAACTAGACCGCTGAATGAAAACTGATCAAATTCTTGTTACAGTGATGCTTTTCGCTCAAGACCTCATTCCTGGCTTTTTAAACTTTCCCAGTCATTTAACCAGCTTTTCTATCGCCTTCAAATGACTCAAAAGCACCGAGTGTAAAGCCTATTATAGTGAGCGACCTCATTCCAAACCTTGTTTTAGAGATAAACCCCTTTTACATAGAATGACCCTTGAGCTTCCTCCCTAGCACTAATAATTTTGATGCTGTTAGTGTCATGGGAGTGTGGCTTGGTTAAGAAAAGTTTCATAGAAAAGGAGACCATTTTAGACTATGTTTTTTATATGTATATATATTTTTTTCCTTTTTTTTATGAAGACCTGGTGTATTTTTGTACTTCATAAGTGTTCTTATATTTTTATCTTGATGCAATTGAAGTAACTAGAACAAAGGAAAAAAATTAATACTGTTAAAAGGAATTGTTAGTAATTTAGCCATAGACAAGAACAGAATTATCAAAGGAAGAATAAGCACACCCTAGTGATAGTGCTATTTTGTTATGAGAGAATTAGGCCTTGTTAAAGCCTTGAGATTGTTTTCTTACAGTAAGAGCTAGGTAGTTGACCTCCTTTGGGCTCTGTTGACAGAGTTAAGCGTGAGGGTGCCACAGACTACTCATCATCTGTAATAGGTTGTGGAGTATTGGCATGGCAGGCAACAACATCCATTGTCATATTCTCAGGTAGCAGTAATTATTTAAGATGAATTACAAAATATGACACAAAACTATGAAAATCACCTATTTCTGCTTTTGTACAGATTGCGACCTGTGCTGATTTTTTTTTTATCACTATTAATTGGGATGGATATGTAGTAGATGCTTGTTTGATTCCATGGCTGTATCAATTACTCTAGTGAAATTGTTGGAAAATAAATACATTTTAGGTTGATTATCCTAACCTAGAATTGGATTAAATCATATATCGAAGCACACAATTATTGGTGTCAAAATGAATTTGACAAAAAGGCTAATTCATTTAAGACAGTAGATATCAGCCTATTTAGACCATGGGCCTTTGCTAGGATCTCTCTTTTTGTGTCTATGAAACTTATTATGTTTGTGAATTTAACTAAGAGATATAAAACTAATATTTGTGAATTTAACTAAAAGATGCAAAGCTATTCTAACGTGTTTGATAATAGGGATTAGGAAGAAGATTGTTTAGGACTTTTTTTAGAATTCATTTATTTACTTTTTTACTGTTATTTTATGTTTTTTACACTTCTTTTACCTGCAATGCCTATTTTTTGTATATGACATACCAATGAGTTATGCCATAATGGACAGGTTGGGAATCACAATGTTTATGAAGAATAGTTAAGTGCTTCACTTGTATGGATTTTACCAGTAGTGTATATGTCTTCTTAAAAGTAGCAGTCTGGTTAATTTTAGAAGTGAATTGCATTGAAATCAAGAGAACTGGTTAATGCTATAATGTCATATGTTTATAAAGTGACTTGTGATTTGATGTTGATAATACCTTTGCATCATTTTCGTAACTCTGAATATTTTCTCTTTCTCTGGTATTTTGGAGGAGATGAATGGAGAATGGTAATTTTGCTGTTCTTTTTTTTATAACTGAGATGATATAATGCACAGCTCCTCAAAGTAACAGCTTACATTGTCCTTCAACACATGGAACTTACAATTCTAGCTTATTCTGCGGTTTAGATATGATGATGTTACAGAAAACAGAAGTGTAAGAGAGACTCGGGACTAATATCTTATATCTTGCTTAGCCATAATGTTGACTGTGAGATTTTAACAGGATTGTAAAGATAAGTTTATCAGTGGCAGATGACTATCCGATTAATTAAACCATGAGAATGAAAACCCGAAAAGGAAATGTGTTGGGCCTCTTATATCTCTCATATCATCTTGATTATAGTTTGTGATGAGTTAATGCATTTGTAAGCTAGAATCATGTGGTGTCGGTAATGACATTGCTCATTAAATCTTGGCCTACAGATGACGTACATATCATGCCATGCCAAGAATGGCCAGCTTGCCAGCAAATTCTCAGTCCAGTCACTGTTAATAACCTCTCCCCCAGTGGACTTAAACCTGGAACTTAGGCAGAAAAATAGCACTAAAGCCTTGTCATATTGTACATGCCAGTATCACAACTCCAGACTAAGACTTCCTTGGTGCACACGTGGCATGAAAATGAGCGCATTGGTTCACGCACACCCCAGAGTTTAGGCCTGTTGGTGATTTAGCTGGCCCGGAGACAATGGGTTATTTTTTCTTTATATTAGTGATACACTACATATAGTACCATTGATTAGAGGCAATTGGAACAGAGGAAAACTTGAAATGATTACCTCCTATATGTTCCTCACCACTCCATATTTGTTGTTTACACATGTTATTCCCTTTTTTTTTTTTCCTTTTTTTTATGCCTAACACTTCACCTCCTGCTGGACAATGAAATATGACACTGCATTGTCAGCTTTGTGGCAAGTGGATATCTCAGTGACCTTTCCACTCTTTTTATATTACTGATGGCAAAATAGATCAGATAAAAAATATATGTATATATTTATTATATATAGATGTTCATATTTTTTAAACAATGTATTCTGTTCATCGCTGATGTTTAGCAGAAAATCAAATGAAATGGTTTTTCAACGTAAGAAATAGGACCAAACAATAATATAACCTATGTTATCAGTACGTACACTACATTGAAGATTAAAGAGAATTGTCTATTTTCCACAGGCGCTTATCTTCTGGGTAACAGACAACTTCTTGATGCTGAAGGTGCGACAAATACACAATGATAATGTAGAGAGTGGATACAGTGAGGTCTCTACATCCGGCTCAGCTAGGGGATTCTCAAAGGTAAGACAATTTTGTTATTTCATGCTGAGGGCAATTATCTTTTCTTTTTTGGGTGTAGAATATACATGGGTTAGAGGGGTAGAAAAAAAAAAAATTCTTGCAAAGCTTTACAACTTATTAGTGAAACCAGTGTTTGAATGGTTTTTATTTGAAATATTGTTTTGACTTCCAGGGTAGTGTGACAATGGTATGCCATTTTTTAAAAGATGTTGGGAAAACACTACCACTGGCAAATGGTACATCTGTAATGACAAAGCTTCTGGGTCTGGGTCTGGGTCTTCAGGGTCTGATAAACAGATTCTCACAAGCTGCTTGTTTTTCTTCAACAAAGCTGTGACAGGGGGATTATCTTAGACGTAGAAGATTTGCCTGGAAAGTACCATTATTTGGAGGCTTGCCGATAATTGATACTTTATTTTACCATTGTTAAGCTCTTGATTTAGAATCAAAATAAAAGAATTCTGATAATGTGTTGATGAATAATTCTGTTAGACAAAGGGTAGGAGTGTTTAACATAAACATAAACATTAACATGAGCAAACATTGATATTATCATTATCATTTGCATTATCATTTATTATCATTATCATTTGCATTATCATTTATTATCATCATTATCATTTGCATTATCATTTATTATCATCATTATCATTTGCATTATCATTTATTATCATCATTATCATTTGCATTATCATTTATTATCATCATTATCATTTGCATTATCATTTATTATTATCATTATCATTTGCATTATCATTTATTGTCATTATCATTTGTATTATCATTTTTATTATTATCATTATCATTATTAAGGTTTCTGTAATTAACAACTACAAATAGAACTACTACTGATTGTTATGAATATTATTACAAGTTTCGCCAGGTAACTGTAGGGAGATTCTCTCAATTATTATTTCTTGTCAGGTCCGTTATAAGAGACATGATGTGCAGCAAGAAGACGAGTCAGACATCCTCTTGTCGTCGTCTTCAAATGACGATGAACTTCTCGGTAGAAACGAAAACCTTCAGGAACGTCACGTCAGCCGCACCCTGACATAACTGTGGTGTAACTAAGGCCTTAAAGATGTTGTAGTTA